GACCAGAAAAACGCGCATTACTTTTGCACCAACCTAATATTATTGCTTTTTTGCTTATTATGAATATCGGCTGTATTTGTCTAAAGATACTTTACCAAAGTAAATGCAAACATTTTTTATAGGCTGGATTTCTACAAATCAATGAAATCTACCTTTATATATCCAGTGCGATTCTCGGATTTGGAGCAGCCAGTAAGCTCCGCATTTACAAAGAAACATTACAATGTGATAAATAAAATTTTTACAGTACTATGGACAGGTCAAGGGACTTATCTAGCGCAAAATTCGACTGAGAAAACCTCTGGAAGAAACAGCGGGCTGCTATGGGCGCTTTCCGAAGGAAGGTGGGAATATTGTACTGTAGTAGTAAGTTTTGTGCATTGAAGCGTTACTGTAGAGTTACGGTAGCACCAACAACTTTACATATTTTGACGCATGCTGATGATCATAACAAGAAAAGAGGAAAAATTCCGGAATGTCATCTGGGATTGGTCACCTCTTTGGACATTTTGCATGTGCAGAGCGGATACCGTATTGCTACAGTACTCGCGCATTGATTTTTCCTCATTTTGATGTAGTCATACAGCGAACTTATAGCTTGTTGGGCGGTGGAGTGTTTCTCTTCATTGTTTTTCATTCATCTGAAACAACGGATAACATTTCTCCTTCGACTGTACGTATTCTTTATGGAGTATTCACTATACTAGCATGTCTCTCATCACTGACATTTGCACTACTGAGACCTGCTCGAGTGACGAAAGTCCGCGAAGGAAAACCACAGTATGGTCGACTTCTTGGTAAGCAGATTCTACGCGTAAATATGAGAGCAAAATTTTGAGTTCATTTACTGAGAATTTCGAAATTCAAGCTTTAACTGCATTGTAAGATCAGTGAACATTTTGTTAATGCATAAATGGCAAAGATTGCAAATCTCTAAAGATTTTCGTAGAGGCAAACATTGAGAGAAATTTTTAGAACAATCGCATTTTTGACAGCAATGCCTATGCCG